ATGTGTCCTTGTGTATATGGAAATGAAGATTAGGATAACAGTCCGAATAATGTAAATAATGTAAATAATCATAATACCTCCTCTCAGAGATATAGACAGCCATTATATCACTAGAAGCTAGTCACTGGATCTAACCAACGTCTTTATCTACTGGGCCATGTGTCCTTGTGAATATGGCAATGAAGATGAGGATAACAGTCCAAATAATGTAAATAATGCAAATAATCATAATACCTCATCTCAGAGATATACACAGCCATTCTATCACTAGAGGCTAGTCACTGGATCTAACCAACGTCTTTATCCACTGGGCCATGTGTCTGCGTGAATATGGTAATGAAGATCAGTCCAAGTAATGTAAATAATGCAAGTAATCATGGAAATATAGAAGATTATATCACTTGAGAATCAATCTAACCACAGTCCCACTGAATAATCCTTGTGAATATAATGTCCGAATAATAAATTATCATAATACCTCATCTGAAAGATATAGACAGCCATTATATCACTAGAAGCTAGTCACTGGATCTAACCAACGTCTTTATCCACTGGGCCATGTGTCCTTGTGAATATGACAATAAAGATGAGGATAACAGTCCGAATAATGTAAATAATGTAAATAATCATAATACCTCATCTCAGAGATATAGACAGATATTCACTTCAGCAAGTTCAATTTCTGACATTACGGTTTTAATTTCTTTCCATATGCCTGCTTTTCTCTAATAATTTTTCCACTCTTATATAATTTCATTTTCACAGTTGACCATAAATTTTCGATCAAATTCAGATCAAGACTTGACACCCATTTCATTATTTTCTCTTACTTAAATTTTTTAAGCTCAAAAAATTCATATGTTACCTTAGATGCATAAGAAGGGCTCTGTCGTTCATAAACATGCACTTTACTGCGAGGCTGGGTCTTGTACCATTCAAAGAAAGACTTGTTCATGAAATCCTAATAGTTAGCACTGTTCAGTTTAATTCCTCCATCGACTTTAAATAGTTCAATAATTGTTTGGTCGAAAATTCTAGCCCATATCGTCACATTGCCGCATTCTTGCTGAATTCTTTTGGTTACAGGCACATTTGCATCGGATAAAATCCTTACTTTGGCACATCAATTAGATCCATCGAATGTCAGCCGAAATTCGTCCATAAAACTGATTTCGAGAAGTCAATTATCATGGATTTCTTGACCCAGTTGTGACGCTTAAAATTTTTGCTTCACTGAGACAACTTTGCCTCGAAGATTTCTGGCGGACACCAATTTTCACCGTGCTCTACACCTTTGTGTCTTTCTTGATTCCTTCAATTCCAGCCTGTTCAAAGATCTTAACATTGATCAAAAGTGGTCGTTTAGCCATAACTCACTTTAAGTTCGCCTTCAGGAGACAATTTCTTAAAGCGTTTCCATTTGCTTTTAATTCTCAACTGAGATATATTTTCATCGGCCCTTTTTATCGTTTGATGATTTTAGACAAGACAGTTGAAAGAAAGATTACGAGATTCTCAGTAAACAATCCAAAATTAACAGCCAAACTAGTGAGGAATGAATGCAGTATGCAGAATATTAGGAAAGAACAACTTGAACCGGTATACTTGCATTATTTACATCCTGTAACCCTCCTCTTTATTCCCATATCCACAACGTTTCAGCCATTGTATGCTCTTGCCTTCATCAGGTGATTGGAATTTCGAATCGAACACTTTATTTCGTCCACCGGGATAGATTGTTTGAAATTACAATGATCAAGAAAAGGCGGAAGCGTACAACGGACGAAACGTTTTGAATATTACAATGAAGATGAGGATAACAGGCCGAATAATGTAAATTATGCAAAAATCATAATACGTCATCTCAGAGATATAGACAAATATTGACGAAAATTCCAATAATCTGAAGAAAGCCAGAGTGTACAACGACCGAAACATTGGGAATATAGCCATCAAGACAAGGATAACAATTCGAATAATGTAAGTAATGCATGTAATCAGAGTACCTCATCTCATATAAACAGATACTGAAGACAAAATTCGAATCGCCTGAAGAAGACCGGAGCGTAAACGGCAGAAACATTGTGAATATGGTAATGAAAAAGAGGATAACAGTCCGAATAATGTAAATAATGCAAGTAATTTTAATACCTCATCTCAGAGTTATAGACAGATATTGAAGAAAATTCCAATCACGTGAAAAAGGTGAAACGCCGAAAAGTTGGAATATGTTGAGGATAACAGTCTAAATAATGTAAATAATGCGCATAATACCTCATCTCAAAAGATAAAATATCACTAGAAGCTTCACTGGATCTAACCAACGTCTTTATTCATGGGCCATGGCAATAAATGAAGATGAGGGATAACAGTGTAAATAATGCAAGTAATCATAATGCATCTCAAAGATAATCATTATATTACTAGAGGCTCATCTAACAATCCAGAGCCATGTGTCCTTGTGGATATGGCAATGAAGATGCAATCAATTATAATCATAATACCTCATCTCAGAATATAGACAGCCATTATATCACTGAAGCTCACTGGAACCAACGTCTTTATCCATTCACTGGGGCAATGAAGATGAGGATAACAATCAATAATGTAAATAATGTAAGTAATCATAATACCTCATCTCAGTGACTATGACAATGATCTAACCAACGATCCACTGGGCCAGGTCCTTGTGAATATGGCAATGAAGATGAGGATAACAATAATAATGTAAATAATCATAATCTCAGAGATATAGACAGCCATTATATCACTATCTAACCAACGTCTTTATCCAAAGAATATAATGAAGATGAGGATCAATCCGAATAATGTAAATAATGTAAGTAATCATTACCTCATCTCAGAGCTATAGACAGATTGTATCACTAGAAGCTAGTCACTGGATCTAACCAACGTCTTTATCCACTGGGCCATGTGTCCTTGTGAATATGGCAATGAAGATGAGGATAACAGTCTGAATAATGTAAATAATCATAATAATCCTCATCTCAGAGATAAAGACAGATTATATCACTAGAAGCTAGTCAATGGATCTAACCAACGTCTTTCTCCAACAATGAAGATGAGGATAACAGTTAATGTAAATAATCAGAGATAAACACAAATTTAAAAAAAATTTAAAACAAGATCATCAAACAAAAAACATCGGAATAGAAGATCATCTAAAATGGAATGCTGGAAAGTGACAAAAGCAATTTTAATTCAAGAATGTAAAATAGATTTCAATTCTAATGCATGAGAACTGTAAGAAAACCAGTTGGATAAAGAAACAACGTAAAATTAAAGCCATTAAAATTTCGTGGTTGACACGCAAATAAGTGAGGTTGCATCAAAAGTGATGGTAGAAGAAAATAGTTAAAAAAAACCTGAACAACGAAAACTGTTTTAGTTTACGCCATTCTACTCATCTGCCAGATTACGAAAATGGATATTTTTTTTTCAAAATGAAGATGTTCCTTGCCACACATCACGTCCAATTAAAAGGGTTTCTTGTAGATGAAGAAGTTCGACTTTTGGATGAATGATCACGTCCTAATCTCAATATAAATGAACCATTGTGGCAGGAACTGAAGGAACAAGTGCTCCGACGAAAACCAATCTCTAAGTATTTTGGAATCACTGCTAAGATGAACGTAAAAATTTTCAATGAAAAAATCTGGACCTCGTGCCATTTAATGCCCAGTCGAACTAAGGCAATTTTCGAACCAAAGGCAAAAACACTAACTCCAGACTTTGATATTTTGTATTTTCTGTTTTATTTAAGAGATGTTATATGACGGTCTCGCTTGTGGTCAAGTATTTTTGCATGACCTTTTCACCGCTTCGCTACGTTTAAGCTGCTCTGTCATCAACCGTACATCTTGAGAATATAAAGTAATTTGTTTTCTGGTCCTCAAACTTCATAAAATGTACCGAGAAAAGTATATTACTAAACACATTTAAATTTTGGGTAAAATTAATAAAAGTAACTAATTTAAAAATAAGTCTCGAATGTTTTGCACGCCAGTGTATACCGTAAAAATATTACTTTTATATTATGCATGTGGCTATATTTTGTCGATAATGTTTTCGTTTATTCTTGACAGCTAAAAATACCTTTAGGTTTTACAATTAATTCTGATAAAACCATTAAAATCGTAATTACATTGTATTTGTAAAGCCTTATTCAGTGAGTGAGTTGTCTGCTTTCTGACATTAGGATCACATCGATTTATTTAGTTGATACTCCAATACTTATTTGGTCAGCTTTGGTGGGCAGTTCATTTAAGAAAATGAAAACTTTCAAATCTTCACTGCCTTGCGGCGATACCCATACAGCGAGACTTCGAGAGTAAGCCCTTTGGTTAAAATCTGGAAACAAAGGCAGTTTGACATTGCATCTACTGAGGTTGCATCAACCACAGTCTTACAACTACTACAATGGTACTGGTGCCAAACAATATCTACCTCTGCTCTCCTCCTGAACCAAATCAACGGTGTGATGAGGAGACATTTGCTGCATTGTTGATCTCTCGTAAAAGATTTTTCCCATGTTTGTTCCCATAAAAAAACAAAAAAAACAGCGTCACTCCATCTTGAGTCGAGTGATAAAACAGAAGATATATTACCATCGCCAGCTGATTTTAAAATAAAATCTCTTTAGTTGCAGACCCGGGATCTCGCCGTACAGACGGATGTAACATAAACGCTTCAATCCAGTGTTTTCAAATTATAATCCTTCAGAGAGGCAACCAAAATTTACGGACAATAGAGACACCAACTCTGTTAAGAGTAACAATCCATTAAAAAAAATAGACAACCAATACGTGCTTATCTTGTTTCCCCTCGAGGTGGCTCTAATCGTTAGCAAGCTTGAACAATTACGACTAAGTAGTGAGTTCGATCCTCAATGAGTTCCCCCTACTTTCGGCCTTGTGCCATATATAAGCTATTCAGTCTGTCGTTTCCCCATGTTTTATCTGGAAAACAGTGACCGTGATATGCATTCTGACTCTCACCGCCATGTGGCACTTTTCGTTCCTTCTTCTCTTCACAGATACCATACGACAGACACTCCCATTCATCACTCGATCCCAGCCACAACGTTCGTAGGAGCTTCTCTTTCGCAAACTGGGAGCTTACGTTGAATCACCGGTCTTCGTACGATCAACAAAGTTAAGCAATACGGAACCTGGTCATTACATAAATGAGGAACTGCCTGGAAATAAATATATGCTGTAAGCTTGATATGTGGATCGTATGGTTTACGGTCATATCACGTTTAAACACCGTTCCTCGTACGATCAACTGAGTTAAGCAACCCCGAACCTAGTCAGTACCTAGATGGGTAACCGCTTGGAAATAACAGATGCTGTAAGCTTGGATGTGTGGGTCGTATGGCTTACGTTCATATCACGTTTAAACACCGGTCCTCGTACGATCAACTGGGTTAAGCAACACCGAACTTAGTCAATAACTAGATGAGTAACCTCTTGGAAATAACAGATGCTGTAAGCTTGAATGTGCGGGTCATATGGCTTACGGATATATCAGGTTTAAACACCGGTTTCCATACGATGACCGAAGTTAAGCAACACCGAACCTAGTCAGTACCTAGATGGGTAACCGCTTGGAAATAACAGATGCTGCAAGCGTTGATGTGCGGGTGGTATGGCTTACGGACATATCACGTTCAATTTACGGTTTTCGTATGATCACCGAAGTTAAGCAACGTCGTGCCTGGTCAGTACTTAGATGGGAGACCGCATTGGAATACCAGGTGATGTAAGCATAGGATTTCGGTGTTATGATCTTACGGCTATATCACGTTCAAGCACCAATTCTCGTACGATCACTGAAGTTAAGTTTGGTAAGTTAAGCAACACGGAACCTGGTCAGTACTTAGATGGATGACCGCTTGAGAATACTATATATTGTATGGTTGGATGTGCGGGTGGTTTAATGGGTAAGAGTTCGGAATTGGAAATCAGAGACACGAGTTCCGATTCCAGTTTGGTTCGTTATATTCTTCAAAATGCAAATACCCTTTAGGAAATGTATGAATCCTACTCTTCTATCCAGCTAGGGATTAATCAATATCACTTGTATCAGTAAATCCTTATTTCTGCCAAAAATCTAAAAATATTTTCTGGCTTAAAATAACCTGCAAAATAAAAATTAATCCGCTAATCAAAAACTTCGCGAGTTGGGGTTCGACGTGTAACGTTTCTTTCACATCATTAAGATCGTGCTCTTCTCTAATCTAAGAACTAACTTCCGGAAGTTCCCGGAAGTGAGTTCAAATCTAACAAGACTGTGATCTCACCTGTGGAGGAGACATTGTTGACGTCCTCTGACAAGTTTGAGCTAAACACGAACGTGCAACGGTTTGAAGGCATTTTTACCGGGATATTATCATCGATGCTTCGCCTCAGATGCTGAAAAACGACATCAATACTTTTCAACCGATCGTCGTCGTTATAAATTTCGTTGGCAGGTTCATTAAAGAGTAAGACATCATACTTAAGTGATATTCTATATCATTACACTGCCAAGGGTAATAGGTGATCACTAGACGTAAAATACCATATCCCCATCATTTATTCAGCGCAATTTGCGCCGTCACTATGGTCACCTCTACCCTCTATCTCAAAATTGTGGTCCTTGATGACATTCAAGGTAGAATAGTGCAATGGCTTGACGGTTCCTTTTGCTCCGGCGATGTTGATACTACCCTGTCCCTCATCTAAAATGTAGATTTGTTTTTGAAATTACCTTCTTCTAGTCTAAACTTAAAGAGACAGGATCTAAAAGGCAGTAGGGGATTGGAATTCAGTTTTCTTCTCCTGGACTGATTACCATATAAGACTATAGGACCAAGAATGTTCTGCTATTTTACCCATAGTTGGGGGAAAGAGTTGACTTCATAATTTTTATCAAGGATATTACAATATAAATGGATGTAATGAACTCGACTAGAAGTCGGCTTTCTGTTTCCGCAAACCATTGATCCACCGTGCCTTCATAAAATGGAGTACAATCGATATTTCTGGGTTTAAGTCAGGGGTAAACTGATTTTGTCCGAACAAATTTTCGCAGAACGAACCCGAAACTATTTTTTTTTTATTTTTTGATTAAAAAAAAATGGTGTAATGAAATCAATTGAGTTGATTTTTAAATCCCCCCCTTATCTTTTTTTTTTTTCATAATTGCTGTTTTATGCGATTTATTTGTCTTGCTAACTGTCCTAGGTTGATAATATGCTTCTGTAGAAAATCGTAATTACACAATTTAGAATTATAATTTTCTGTTCCTATTTTTAAATCTCTATAAAACATTTTATTACAAATAATATTATATGACTATGCAACACTGGGAATAATTGCAATGGCGAAGTGTAGTTTCCAAATGCTAGCCTAAGGTATATCTAACTGCTTTCACGCAACAATTACTTTGATATTCCTATGACAACGTATCGAAATGTTCCACTCATCTAAAAAAATCGTTAAAAGCTCTGCGATGAAATAGAATAATGCTATTCACAAGAAGCTTAATTGGCACCCTTATATAAAAAACTAGAGTTAGTGTATGATGTTTCTATTACTCCTGCCGAAATAAAAGGTCGTCAAATAGATAAACATACAGTCCTGGACATTTTAGAAATCATTTCCTTTTTAATAAAGAATTCAATTTTTTTTTTCGTGCATTTATGTGCCTCTCAACCACTTTCACGGCCATCTTTCCTGCAGCAGACATTGCACCCCACACAATTACACGTCCTCAACCAATTCCTCGTGTAGAAATGGCTTCCGTTCGAACGCTGGGGTCACTGCAGTAATATAGACATCCATCCGGACAAACAAGGTTGGATTTCTTTTTATCAGAGAATATTGCAGGCTTCCATTCCTATTCCTAAGTTTGGAAATCTTCAGTGAAGTCCATTTACTAATAACTCGGAATTGGAAATCAGAGAATCAGTGTTCCAATTCCAGTTGGATTCGTTATATTCACTTATGTGCAAATACCCTTGGGGAAGGTATGAATCCAACTCTTCTCCCCCAGATATGGGTTAATTAGTAGAACTTGTATCAGTAAATTATTATTATCGCCAAACAATCGTTCTTTATGTAGTTTCGCCAACGAAGGTCTTCGCTTTCTCTTTCACATTCTTCATGCCACTTACTGAGGTATCATCTAATCGTTCGAGCAGATTGCTCACAAGATGTTCCTGTCTTGAATTTAATACTGGGTATACCATGATTAGATCTGACCTTTCGACTAATCCACCTACCAATAAATTCTATAATTGCTTGGGGATTTCTTTCCAGTATTTTTCCCCTTCTGTTGCCTTCAGTCTCTTAAAAACATAGATGGACAGACTTTCACGATCTTCTCAGTTCGTCAAAAATCTCGTTTACTCGTTATGCTAGCTGCGAAAATAATTAAGATCTTATGCTCATTAACAAATATGAATTTTATATGAAATACACATAAAACACTCAACTAATTAAACTACGTTCAGTGTTTCCTAAGTTATGATCGATAAAATCTCTATTTTTTCTTTAAAATGCAATAAACACCATCTGCACAATCAGTGGCTGCTATAATGAGAAAATGATATATTCACCTTTTAGCAACCTGACCATAAGATGTGATAAGCGCCAATAAACGATAAAGTGAATATAAATAAAGTTTAATGTGTTTCTAAATATTTGACCAGCAGTTTATTCTGAATACACTCAAAAATGCAAATATAATTTGGCTACAAAAGAATTAACTTATTTCAACCCAAGTTAATTTAACAGCGCCGGATATACATAAAATATCTGAACAGTTAAAATAGTTCAAATTTTTGTATTATTCCTGTTAGAAAAAAAATGAATCCATCACATTACCGCCAACTATGGGTTAAATATCAGAGTAGAATTGACTCTCTAGCCTTGTTTGACAGTCAGTTTAGTAGAAGAACTACACTGAATGTATGGATTGTAAAGAAGACAAGGGGAAACTAATCTGTTACTCAAAGAAGTCATAAAATCTTAACTATAATAAAGGGATCCGGGTGCTATGATGATCAATATTCTGAAGGGGTACGGCATATATATATATATATATATATATATATATATATATATATATATATATAGTGAACGTACCCGTTAATATCGATCTATGGTGCTTTAACAGTTCAATTATTTTAGAAGTGAGCAGCCGGTCTATCTAGTTTGATCATAATGATAACAGCAAGAATCCGGAACATTAACAGAGAAACGTTGCACGGTGAATCACGAAGTCGCTGAAGAATTCTCTTTAGCTTTAAATTCATAATTGTTCTAGACTGTACAATATTTACATTCTTCGGACTATTATCCTCATCTCTGTCGCCATGTTTATCACAACGTTTCAGCCGTTGTACGCTCCGGCCTTCTTCAGGCGCTTGGAATGTCGAACAGAACCCTTTATTTCGCTCACTGGGGTAGACTGTTCTAGTTCCAAGTGCCATGTCTAATGGATGTCAGTTATCTCCTGTTAATTCCCCTCTGAAAGTTCTCCACTGCCTTAAACGGGTATTGAACTCGCACTCTTTGGGTGCTGTCACTGGATCTAACTAACGCCTTTATCCACTGTGCCATGTGTCCTCAACTCAGTAATATAGACAGATACTGTATTAGGCTGGTTGACAACCATGACTAGCGATCTTAGATTTACCCTACTACTTAAACGATAACACGTGGAAGAAATAGATGTATTCAAACTTTCCAGATGTCCGAAAGTCAATGTAACAAACTGGGCCGGGATTCATCTTGACGGTTTCACTTTACAAGCCGCCATTACACTACCCGACACTATCGATATTTCCGTGTACCGTCCGTCTGAAGTTATTATGAAAATCATATAAACTTCAATGACTCGCATACCTGCTTTGAAAAATTTTGTCAAATCTTAAAGAATTATTTTAGACGCCAAAACAAAGCTTTAGTTATTTTTTTAGAGAACTTCAACATATTTTATTAAAGTTATTGGATTTATTATAAAAACTACAGTCTCAAGTTATTATACCAAACCAGAAAATCACTTTTTACTTCAATAACAATGTAATAAAATCATCAATTGATCAACACCTATAATAGAACAAATAACGAACATATGTAAGTCTTTGAGGACTAAGTACGACCAACCCCAATGAGCTGAACGGTGGAACAAGCGGATAACGATCACAACAGATCTCAAGGGTTGAATCAGCGGATAAAGAGGGCTACTTATGACGGACATAATACAGAAGGTACCACACGAAATTAAAACAGAGTCAACAGCAAAACTAGAAAATCACTTTCTACTTCAATAACAATGTAATAAAAACATCAATTATTTATCACTATCAATAACAGTACAAATAAAAAAACATATATAATAAGTCTTTCAAGCATTTACAGCTTAATATAGTGACTCATATTCTTAATAAGAGCCAGCAATCTATCATTGATTTTATTAAATTATTTACTTCAGTTGCATAATTTATATTATTCGGACTGTTATCTTCTTCTCGATTGCATTATTCACAACTTTTCGGCTGTTGTAAGCTCAGGCCTTCTTCAAATGATTGGAATTTCGAATAGAACCCTTTATTTCGTCTGCCGTGGTAGATTGTCCTAGTTCCACATGCCATGCCCCATCCGGAGGTCTCAGTTATTTCACTTTAACTCAACTCACCAAGTTTTTCGTTCACGACTGCTGTGCCCTGGTCTAGAAATCACAACTCTTTGGGTCTTGTCATTCTATCAAATTAACA